AGCTCCCCGCCGCGGCGGGGCTGTCCGCGCTGCTGCCTGTCGGGAGCTGCGCCGCGCCGCTCGCCTTCGTCGGCTCTGGGATGGGATCTGCCCGGGGATCTGATCGATGTCTGCTCTGGGATCTGCGCGGGATTTGCCCGCGGCTCTGCCCGAGGATCTGTTCCGAATTTGCCGGAGGATCTGCCTGGGATCTGCCCGTGGATGTGGCCGGGATCTGTCGGGGATCCCCCCGGGGATCTGCCCGGGCTGGGCTGCGCTAACGGCTCCGGTGAGCGTTGGACACTCCGGTGCTGATTTGAGCCCAGCCCACGGCTCTGATTCCCCAAGCATCCCGCTATCGCTGCGGGCAGGGGTCACAGAGATCATGGAAATCCTGCTCCAGGTGTCACAGCCATCCACAGGGATCACAGGGGTGGATCCTGCTCCGGGGTCATTCCCTGCACTCCCGCGGGTGGCACCGGTGTCTGGCAGGACAGCAGCAACACGCAGTGTTCACAGGGCTGCTGGAGACAGTGACGGATATTATTGCAAATTAAGACAACGGGCTGTACTCGAGAATTTCAGTGTCCTTAAAACAATACCATTCGTACCAACTGGTTTGTCTCCCTTTGCCAGGCCATAATTTAATGTTTTCTTATAAAACCACACGACAGATTCTCATTCGATAACCAGCTATGCCCACACCTCGTGTCCCTGCTCTGCCGATCCCGGCTGACCCCGCGGGTTTTGCCCCGCGGATCCAGGCTGGATCCACCTTCCCTCAGGAGATGCGAACCGGCTGAGGGGAGCCCCGGAGCCCTCGGGGCACAGGGCTGCGGGTCAGGGAGGAAACGGCGCTGAGGGGAGCGCGGCTGTTGCAAAATGTGGACTATGTCAAGATTATCTTAAGTAATAATGGTCTTTAAGATCTTCGCATACTTTCAGCAAGAAAGGAGACCTAACCCGTGGGGCAGGCAGCAGCCAGCATCCCTTACTCAAGGACATCCTGGAACTAATGAGCGTTAAGGATGTAGTAAATTCGGGTGTTGGTGTACGTCTGTGTAAACTTTGATAACTTAGCAAAAGACTCAAGATCCATGTATCCTATAGCTGATCTATGTTCATTATAATTCTAAAGACCCTGTGAAGACTCTTCCCCTCACCGTGTGTCCAAGTTAGCTGAGGTTACGCAACTTGTAAACTACTAATCAATCCCGATAGATGGGCAATACTTGGAAAATTACCAGCTCTGAACTTCTGAGTACAAATAACGGTGTGAAAAGCTCGGTGGCGTGTGCTGGATTTGTGGAACACCACCGAGCACCTCGGCTCTGAAATAATCAACCAATGTGTCCAGCGAGTGTGTCCCGGTTGGCCTGTGGCACACCGGGTAAACAATCCGATTTTGTGGGATGAGGGGTTGAGGGAACGGGGTGTGAAGGGCGGCCATGAGGGGAGCGGGGTCTGAGGGGACAGGGCTGGGGCTGGAGGGCCGGGGGGCGCTGAGGGGAGCGCG